GGTGACACATTGTGGAAATCTAGCTTGTCTAGGCTGGAGACCAGATGAACGTATCTGCTGCTTTATATGCATTTGTACAAACAAAATAAAAACTTGATAAGCCAACCTGATACGTGGAAATAAGTGATATCACTATTAAAATGGCATTACTCATGTGCTACACTGAACCAAACCAACTCTCCTAATTCCTTTTCATAGGTGGATTTAAAACATAACTGCATATGGCCATGTGTAGGTATATATAAAATATGTAAATTATCATAAACTTTCTGGAAATTTTGTTTTAAAAATATGGAAAATTAAATTAATAAGTCACTTTAAAAATAACACTTTTTTTACATTATCAGCACAGCTTAACTGCTATGAAGACTTTAAAACATATTCTTTATCTCAAGTAAACATTTAGAAACTTGAGTCATGAAAACTTGACATATTCAACTTGTTATGCCACAGCAGATGAGAACTCACATTTTACTGGAACTGTGAGATGTTAAGAACACTGTTAGCAAACAAATTATTATTAATTTGGTAGTTTATGTGGCCAAATATCAGCATCAAGTATATAGCTTGCTAGTAATTTCTGCCCTTTAAGGATGCAGCTATGCTGATGACAGAGTTGGTGGTAAGCAGAAATGCACACATAACAGTGCCACAGAGAGAGGAAAGGGAATTGCAGTTGTTTATGCCAGGCCAAGAAATCCCCCCAGAATAGCAATCCCCATATAATGACCCTGCCTTCTGACAGACAATTTTCTTCAAAAAAAGAGACAGAACATCAGAGATCTTTCTGTAGATGACAGGGCTCTACAAGATGCCACTTTAACCATGTAACCTTTCACGGGACATAATGAATTTCATGTTCTTTCTTGTTTTCCTGAATTATGTGAAATATTTATTTAAAATACATCCTAAAAGATGAATTTTTCTTTTAGTACCTTTAGAATAAAAAATAAATCTTGCAGTGCATTGGTGCAACCAAAGAAGCCAAAGTGATGATAAATCCTTCCCATCCCAATTCCACTTTGTACACTGAGATAGACTGGGGTAATAATAAAGGAGCTCACCTTACTAGCTGCCAAAACACACAGAGGGCCTCCTGCAGAGATAAAGGACAGCTGCCTCTGAAGCCACAACAGCTCTTTCTGCGATTGTTTCAGTAACTGCTCCATGTCACCTGGCTTCTGTCCCATTAGCCCTTCCTGCAAGACAGGAAATTTTCAATTTCTGTTTTCTCAACTATATGGCAATAGTAATATATGACTTGTCATTGCCAGATTTCTAACTAAGCGGAAACATCTGCTACACAATATATCTGTATTTATGCAAATGGCTTTTTGTGCTTAGTTTAACAAGCCTCTGCTACCTAAAAAGTAAGGTGCCTCTTTGTAGCATCAGCAGCACAAAATCCTGCATTTCAAGTACCCTAGTACTCTGGCTATTAGTCAAGCCAGGTTAGGGTGGGGCAGAAAACAGGAGCAATTCCAACCTTTGGCAGCTGGAAGAAGTTCCTCTTACAATGCTGTAAACAAAGGGCTTGGAGATGCTGCTGGTAGGGGACAAAATCAGCTACAAGACAATGCTGACAAGAGTTTGATGCATGTATAATAATTACTATGCATAGGAAAGCCACTCAGTAATCCAAAGTACAAATTTATACCCTTAGTCGAAGTCTTGATGATAAACCACAAGTATTGTGAATTCAGACCCCAACTCTCTTCTACACATGATAAACTGCAAGATACTTAAAATCAATCAGCTTTACTGATATTTTTTCCTACTTGGTTTTAACACCTTTAGGAATAAACAGTATAACTCTTTACCAGCTAATTTAGATATTAAGAGCAGAACCAGATTTTTACCTACCCTCAGGCATCCTAGCTGATTTTTCAGTTCTTCACACTCCACTTGCAGCAGTTGGATCTCCAGATCCTTTATGCTTTCGGGTTGTTCATTGATATTTTGCAGATGCTGGGCCTTAACATTGCCAAAGTGCATTTTCTGCTGTAGAGGAAGTGTTTTGGTAATTGTTTTTGTGATGACAGCAGTGTTATTGGATGACAATGTCAATGAAGTTGAAGGGCTGACATCCTGGCAAAGAGAAAATACATTTTTCATGTCATTTTTGCTAAAGCCTTGTCTGAGGGAAAAAATATAATTCAAGTTCTTTCAAAAGTCGTACTATAAATGCACTATTTGGAAATTTTCTTCTTCAGATCTTTCATTCAAACAGTAAGTGAGCAAGTGAATTTCACCTGCTCAATCACCAGTAAAGAGACAGGCATAACACAAAGAAATACAAAGCAATTTTTTTGTATTTGTTTTTTACTTCATTCCATGGATGCCAGCCAGCCAGGATCACTCTTGACAGTATGGGTATCAATGTATTTACCACTTGATGGCAACATAGGGCTGCCGCTTAGCCACGACTTCTGGTCCTTCACTCAGCATTGTTATCACACACCCAACTAATAAGTTATCCTTGCTGCTGAACATGCAGCTCACTTGGAAGCTGAGCTTCAGCTACATCCAAGGTACTGTATTCCAAAAGGCATGCTTGACCGCTCTGCAAAACCTTCATGAGGAATCTGCCATGTCACTTGTCATTTGACTGCTATGCAGTCAAACTTACCTTGTGAGAGTGGTAAAAGAAACTGAAGCTCCCTTCTGAGGCTTGGCAGTTCACAGCTCCTTATGTCCCAAATCCTCTTGCTTTACACCCAGTAATTACCTTACTCCTTGGCTTGTCCCAGTGGGCACTCTGGTGCAGTAAGATAGTACACCCCTTCAGCAACAGTATTAGGACTTAGCCTAGTAACATGTTAATTCTGCACACTCAATAATTGATATACAAAGGCAGACCCATTTAAAACTCCTTCATTTTACTATAAAGCTCAAAAAGGCAAGAGACAAAAAAAAGCTAATTTCTTATTACATGCTTGTGAGAATACCACATCCAGCCTGGTTTTGCTCTTAAAACCAGCACATCACTTGAACAAGTCATTCATTTTCAACAGTCTACATGTAAGACTGGCTTGGTGTAACTTCATCACAGAAATAATAACTTGCCTCAAATTGTGTCATATTCAGCTAAGAATATTAATGTAGCTGGAAGCTGACATTATAATTTAAGATTGTGTAGGATTTTACTTGCAGACGAGTAAAACATTATTTTGGTTATCACTTTGTTTAAATTTTGTTCACGTATTCACAGTTGATTTTAGAGAGGATAACCAGCTTCTTGGTTCATTATGCCATGATGTGCAATCCCCCAAGTCTATAAGGTAAGTTTTCTTATTTTCCTTATGAAATTGGGATTTTTGTGGTGTGGTTTTGGGGTTTTTTTTGTCCCTCCTGTTTGGGCTAGAGAAAAAAAAAAAAAACCACTCAATTTTTTTATATTTCTCTAACCCTAATTTTGATGAAGGCCTAAACACTGATCACAGGTGAAAAACCACTTTTCAACTGATCTGAACTGGTTTCACTGCAAGGCACTCCCTTTCTCTCAGTGTCTGCTCAGCCAGCCCACAGTATGGCCCCTCCTCCTCAGGGCAGAAGCTCCCCAAAAACCCAGCCCTGCCCACTCCCTCAGGGGGACCAGAAGATACCCTCCAAGGGCATATATGAAGCACCATTCAATGCTAGTTTGATAGCTCTAGAAACCTGGTAAAATTCATTAAAATACAGTAACTATAAGCAGTATTTTACATAAAAAATGAGAAACACTAATATTCAAATAAGATTTTTTTCTTATAAAACAGGATTCTCTTAATTTTGAAGCATTAACCATTGGAAACCTCAGAGATCTGACTGAGATAGTATTACCAAAGGCCAAGTTTATTGTACCATCTAGCTTCCCTGGCATATATACACATATATATACATATATACACATATATATACATAGATACATACACACACACACATATATATATTTTAATTGGAAGTGCAAAAAAAGGGAAAAGAATGGGATGAAGTCACTGAACATGAACCTTGTAAATCTCTGCCAGATACACATCACTAATGCATACCCAAAGTTGGCGAATACTCAACAAAAATAAAAATAAATTAATTTGTAGTATCATTTACATTTATAATATACTAAACAAAAATCCCTGAACACTGGATGAGTTCAGCAAGATCAAAACTTGATCAGAAATACCCCGGTCTTTAAGCACCAGCTCTCGCACTTCACAAAATGGAAGACTAATGTTTACTTCTCAAATATTAAAGAACCTGAAGGATATATGTATTGCATAAAAATATAAATACGTCCCCAAGTGAGTCATATCAGCAGATACTTGTATTTTAATAGCAGCCTGAAATACTGCTATAGCTGTCAAATTATAGATTTAAACTCGGATTGTTTAAACATTTACATTAATTCTACTGCAGTGTGATGTGCCCACCCGGCTGCTCCTTCACCAACATCGCCCCACCCCAACAGATTGTGGAGGCAAAAAACAGATGAGAAAGCTCGTGGGTTGAGATGAAACTGGGAAACCACGATTTACCATCACAGGCAAAAAAAAACTTTCACTTGAGAAGATTCATTGAATTTAGTGGCAATTAGAGTAAGCTTGGATAGCGAGAAACAAAGACAAACATTAAAACACCACTTCTTAACCCCCCCGCTCTCCCAGACCCAACTTCACACCTCCATTCCCAACTGCTCTACCTTCCCCCTCAGGAACAGCCTGCTCTGGGAAGGGCTGCAGCGTGGATGTCTGCTCCCGTCACTGCTGCAGGGGACTCCCGTTTCTCCTCCTCCTCACCCCTCTCCTACCCGGGGGCTCACAGGGCTCTTTCTCACACTTTTCCCGTCATTTGGGGCAGGTTTTGCCCGGTTTCCGATCTGTTTTCCCTCAAGTGCCAACAGCCCCACCGCGGGCCTCGGCCGCCCCTTGTGGTGGAATTGGCGGGAACCGGCCTTGTCCGGGGCGGGGCAGCCCCTCACGGAGGCAGCCGCAGCCGCAGCCTCAGCATGGCCATCCCTTGAGTACGTGAACTTAAAACAGAGACCGAGACCGCCTCTGACCATCGAGAGACACCTCTGCTGAAGCGCTCAGCGTTCTGCACCGCCTCTGTCAGCGCAGACCCCAGGCACAGCACCCGGCCCCTCAGGGTGAGGGAGGCCGCAGGTAACGTTAACGATTCAGTGTGTAAACTGAGGTGACTTGAGCAGACTTCCGATTTTTAGAGACAAAAGGTCCCCGAATTTTGAAAGCTTTGCTGCCCCAAACTGGAATACTGGCAGCTTGTCACAAATAGATCCTGACACAGACCTCAGATAGGTCAATCAGGTGTTACCCTCCAGCAAATGCAGTTTCTATGCTCTCAAACAATTAATTTTGTCATTAATGAAAAGAGCTAGAAAACCTGAATCAAACTGTGGTGTGTTTTATCTGCTAAATTTGCACATGAATATTTAACAGGCAGGTTTCTTCTATTAGGCATTAAACTGTTGAGTAAATGATACAGGAAAAATTCAGGAAGTTGCCAGACACTTAAGTGTGTATTGATTTTTTTTAAGCTATTTTTATCGTGTTTGTATCTACTGAAGGGAGCAGCACTGAAAGCTCTGGAGAATGAATCCATTAGTGAATAGAAAAGATGAATCACAATAAACATCAGATAAAGTTCCCTGTCATCACTAATGCACCCCAGTGTCACTGGAAAAGCAGTTTCTCTGTAGATAAACAGGGCCCTCTGTCTCAACCACAAGGGTATCCTCAGATTATCCTCACTGTTCCCGGTCTCTGTGCTAATCTCAGACTCGGTGCTTTTTGGGAAGGTGTTAATCCCTCTCTTTCAGAAGGCTCATGTGAAACTACTGCACTGGAATTGCAACAGAAGGAATTTAACATCAGCATGCCATTTTTTTGTTGAGGGGTTACTTCAAATGGACCAATATTTTAAACTGGGTATCTCACAATTAAAGCAGCAGGTAACTGTAATTAGAAAAATTACAAGAAAAAAAAATTGTGCTGGGCCATAAAAACCAAAAAAAAACCAACCAAACCTATCAGGGAAGCAAAGCGTGAGAGGAATCTCAGTGCATCGAGTGCCAGGGAAGGTGCTGGCAGTGGTTTGACCCTACATGCAGTCACTTCTGATTCGTGTCAATGCTGTGACAACCATTTCAGCAGTTGACAGTAAAGCCACTGGAAGATTTTAGAGCATGTAGCACTCACCTTGCTCTTCTTAACATTTACTGAGCTGCTTTTCAGTTTGCTTCTGCCCTCAGATCTGTAGCGTGGAGACTTCTCAGCTGTTCGTTTTGCTTTCTTGTTGCCCTTTTTGGACTGTGGGACAAAATAACTCATTAAAATATATTACAACACATGTAAAATGTCTCAGCGATTCCCATGGTCTTTAATGTTTGTTCTTGCATAGTAAAGCACAAGTTTCAAAGTATAGATGTGATGCTTAGGAGAATTAAAAGAACAAATTAGACATGGCCTTCAGTCAACAGCAGAGGGGACAACATCTCTGTGGCAGACCTCTGTCACTGGTTCTCTGCCTCTGCAGTGGTTAACATGATGGGGACTGTGCTAATGCTACAGAATGCGAGACCAGACATCGCTGCAATCCAAATAAGAAGTCATATTACTAGGAGCAATTTGTTCCTTGCATGGCATTTGGTCTCTGTCAATCTCAGGAAGAATCTCTCATTTGGTTTATGCAGAAGATGGCTAAAACAGCAGGGATATAAGTAGCATGTGGTTAAATGGTAAATGGCACTGCTTCATCAGATTACTTACAGTCAAAAGAGGGCACTTTCTGCTACATCCCTGGCATTAAGCGGGATAAAGAAGCACACAAAGAGGGACCTTTGTTCCTTCTGCTGTTACGCAATACAGAATGACAGGTCACAGAATAAATACACAGCATTATTCTAACCATGCTAGACATTTTAGCATTGATTCATTTCTTTAATTTCAACATGGTGTCAATTTTACAGCATGCTACATTCAGTGTAAGATAGTCTTGTCTCCTAGAACTTAAAACCTAAATAAAAATAGAGGGAGCTAGGAAATTGGCCTCATACCGTATTTCTCAGTTAAAGGTATATAGTAAAACTCAGTACTCTTTTTTTTAGAAAGGTTAATCCCTCTTTCCCTCTTCATGGATATTTAAGGGAAATTTAATAATAGTTTCCTCTTGTCCCTCACTCTGTGTGCTGCCTATAAGTACTAGCAAAACAGCTCAGTTTTAGTTTTTTTTGCATTAAGTAACATTTAATCTTGGATAGCCAAAACCACTCCCAGAGAGTAAACACTGATGAGATCTCTTTCCAAACATCACTACCCTTATTTTCATCCTTTGCTGATGGTGAGTCAGGCTGTCTCTGTTTGGCCAGCATGACTTGGCATTTTGTATTGTTTGAGGTCTGGATTTCATATTTGAAAAAAGGTTGAAACTTGCAATACCAAGCAAGAAGCTGTATTTGGAAAAAGAAATGCAGAGTGTATTCATTTTTCTGATCAGCCCTCAAAATTATCCAATTACCCACCAGCACAAAATGGTAGGAGGAAAAAGCAACAAAACAAGCCAAATGGAAAGGAAAAGTGAATTGGTTCTAACAAAGCAGATAGCTGCTTGCAATTGAAAAGAAACCTTTTATGGAGCTGTTCTGTAGTCACTGTCTGTGAACCAAAGGTAGTTATTAGAAACTACAAACACCAGCCATCTGTCACTGTTCGAGCTGTGATGGTTTCTGTTATAGGCCAGGATGCTTGGGAGGAATCCAGAAGTCTTTTCTGAAGATTAAAACAATATTCCGTTCCCCATATTCTCTGAATTTTTCCTGTTTTCATCTGATGTGCCACTGATGGGAATCCTCCACATCTAAAACAGCACTGAAAGTGGAGGGGTAGCAAGTATTTCACGACCTTGCTCACACCTCTTTCCCTTTCTGTTCCTATAGCCTCCCAAGAGTAAAGGAGGAAATGGGAAAACTTTTTGCCTTCTGTGCAAACCTCACTGCCTCCTCCTAAAGCTGTCAGATTTCTCTTAAAATGCAATAAGATTATTCATTTTAATAAGAACATTACATGCATATTCATTTTTTTCCTTCAAATAACTACTATTTTTCAGCAATTCAGTTTATATTTTTCTCATATATGTTACTACATTGTGTTGCTACATATATCACTATGTAAGAACAGAACTTTTAAGGTTGTAACAGATAGTAATGAAACTGTTCCCCTTTAATCACAGAAGACATATTTTAATGCAGTTAAAGTAATTTCAGATTTACTTTCCTTGTACTAAATGATAGGGAAGGCAACAAGGGCACTTATTTATATCTGTGTAGGATAAGAAGACTGCTCAATGGAAATCCAAGAAAAGCATCCTGGCCTATAAGTCTGAGTCATTCTGCGTAGCACATGCTTGCTTACAGCTTAGCAACAAGCCAACTGAGAGAAGAGAAAAAAATGTAAAGAGCAAATATATCATCTAAAACCAGCTCTTGTATATGGATATGTGAACCCAGCTGTATTACAGGGAAACATAGAGACTTTGCCTTTACGTTCTTCCAACTCACTTGAAGTTTACAAGCATTTTAGGCATTAATATATATCAGCTGTAATTAAAAATGCATTTCAACACTTGCTGAATTTTATCATCCTGTGATCTTGTCTGTTTACTTTCAAAGACTAATTTGTTCCATGATTTTGTTTGCCTCATATTGGAAGGAAAAATCAGACCCAAAAATAATCTAGGGGAAACTGTATAAATGGGAATTCTGACTGAAACCTTATAAATATCTTCAAAGTCAAGTGAGCACGAGTGTGCCCAGCTGTCAGGCTTTGGGTCTGAGCACAACATCCATCTTGTCCTGGCACATAAAGTGGGTGACTCTCTGGGGTGGATCTTCAGGACGATGACTGTAACCTAAAATTAACCTCCTAAATTCATACACAGGCTGTCAACTATCCAACTTCATTTCAGAAATGCTGATGACAATATTCTGCTAAGCACTTTGAAAGGCTTTTGTAGAAACTTGCTGTAGTTCTTATAATGAATCTGAATCTAATTTTAGGCAAACTTTTTTCTTTCATCTTGCCATCAGTAACTACTGAAGAACAGTGTAAATACATGGTGAGAAAAAAATTTATATTGCAGGAGTACACTAAATGTACTCTTCTACACATGCAAATTAATGTATTTTAAAATAAATGTACCACTTGGTAGGCAGCTTAGGAAGCAGAGACTTTCTTGTGTGGGGAATATGAAAAGGACCTACAGTTATCTTAACAGTGAATACTTAAAATGAATACATCAGGGACAATAACATCAGCTCTCCACAAATGGTGATATCCCATGTGGGTAATATAGTTGAAGACAGACCAGGGAAACATTTTGTATAAACCATTATTATTATTATGCCTTGTGGCAAACTCAGAAGAGGGAGAGGCACGTACTAAACTAGAATTCTTAATGTGGATTACTTGTTGTGGGTATAAAGATATTTCCTCAACAGAAGTGCAAAAAATAAAGATCGATTGAGAGAGCAGCCATGGCCACCTGGGACTGTGAGCTAGGATCTCAAAAATCTGGATCTAAAAACCACTTCAGATTTATCAGGGCACCAAAATTTACCTGTTATCAAAAGTTCCTCAAGCTTTAGAGCAATTGTTTGATAGAATTTGTGTTGTGATTACAGCCACATCATAACCAGAATACCCCATCTCTGAAGCCTAAGCATGCGTGTAAATGTTACATCCTTACACCTCACAAAGAAGCTGCATTCTGGTTTTGCATATTGCCCATGTACTTTCTGCTTGAAAAAAATCTCTACTTTCTAAGCTGTCAATCAAGTAGTAGAATTTCTGTTTCTTTTTAATTAATTATTTTGCGTACCTGAGGCCTATCCTACAATATAAAGCTTTTTAACAATAAGGTTTTACATATTTTTTCTTCTGCATGGGAAGATTAAAAAAAACCCCAAACAAACAAAAAAAACCACAACAACAACAAAAAAAAAACCACAAAAAAACAACACACCAAACCCCCTTCAAACTTACTTTAAATACTTCCTCAAAACCCCACCCTTAAAAAAAAACAACCAAACCCCAAAACTCTAAAAACAAATCTAGGCAAGTTTTCAGACAAATTCTGGCACGTCCTGAAC